TTCATATTCATGTTTACATCAGGCTTATTTGTCAGTGCTTTATGTTGTCATAATTATTACATGCTTACAAGGTTGGAAGTTCAACAAATCAGTCAATATACTGTGATTGTAGTTGTTAAATAAAAATGTCATTCATATCAATTCATGCATCACCTAATTTCATCGTAACATATAGGCCTGGCCTACAGAAAAGAACATTTATGTTTAATCTGTCTAATAGTGTGTTGGTCATACTATACAATGATTTATAGCTTGTCTTTGTTGAATAATACAGAACATAAAGAGCTTTAAAAAAAAAAAATTGCATATTAAATCGCAATCGCAATATTGGTAAAAAAAAATCGCAATTAGATTATTTTCCAAAATCGTTCAGCCCTACCACATTATTTGAAATGAGCGCGGGCCAAACTTTTTTCTCTCACGGGCCGCCTATTGAGGAACCCTGTTCTAGAAGAAGAAATCTTTTAAATCTATACATGTACTACACATAGGTTCTTAAAAATATAACTTTTGTTTCTTTTTTATACAAAAATTGGTGTACCCAAGTAAAAGGCGTAATGGTTTTCTTCTCATATGACAACAAAAGGGCATCCTGTGTGGGAAATAAAATAAAAATAAAAGCAAAAAAATAGAAATACTCGCAAAACCTCCACTGCTGTGTTTTAGTGGGTATCCTTTACTCGGCATATTAAAATTCTGTCCCTCAGATAGTAATTCTCCCTGAAGGCACACAAATTAGATCCTCCCTACCACATCCAGAGTGTTCATTACGAAACCACTTCATAAAGGTTTTATCAGTGACATGAAGAAAACCATCAGTCAATCTCTCAGATCTGCAGTGCACTTGTGTACGTCTCCACCCCGGCCATCAGTTCTCGGGTTGATCTGATCAAGGCTTTATAGTCGAGATTAGATTTGTCATTTTCATTTGACTCATTTTACCAGAGCATCTGTAATCATTTTGGGTGTTAACTCATCTTAAAAAGGCCTTCGGTCTCAGATCTGACTGAAGACCCAGGGCAGGAATGCTTTAACGGTAACTTTGCAGTGTAGATAGTTCGTGCAGGAAGTTCTGGCCTCCACCCAATACTTGGCATCCACGCAAACTGTCAGATGCATCAAAGGCCTTTCCCGAACTCTTTATCAGAGCCTAGTGCCAACCTCCAAATAAAACAAATAGTGCTCTTCCTGCAGTTAAAAGCATCAACATCTCTATTTAAGTCATGCACATAAGCATACGCATGGGAGCAACCTCACATTGTGTTCTACTTGCCATGTTCATGTCTTTGTGAATCACGTTATCCATGATTCCCTCAAGAAAGTTACATTTAAGTCAACATAATTTTAATAACGTTCATAATGTGACATATTTTAGAGTGAAATGATTACTAAGAGTCTTGATTTATGTTAGCGCAGCACTTTAGAATAATGGGTTTATCACAGAAATTAGATGGTTTTCAGCAAAATGTTCCACATAGAAACTTTAGGCTCAGCTGATGTTAAACAGGTGCGGTGCATAAAAATATTAATTAATAACCTAGCTCTAATATCACAGATAATTTACATGCAGTCCCATTATATGTTTAAGTTTCTCTGAGTACAAGTATGTAATTGTGAGGATTTCTCTGTCTTTATATAACCAAAGTGAGTTGTTATATTAGAAATACATGTTATTTTTATTTATTTGTTGATTTATGTTATGTTCTGGATCGGTACAATTTAAAAATATATTTTTGAAGTCTTTTAAATAATTGTTTTCTATTTTATTATAATTTAAATTGTAATTTATTCCTGTGATGGCAAAGCTGGATTTTCAGCAGCCATTACTCCCGTCTTCAGTGTCTCATGATCCTTCAGAAATCATTCTAATTTGCAGATTTGGTGCTCAAGAAAGATTTGTATTATTATTAATGTTAAAAACAGTTTTGCTGCTTAATATTTTGTGTTTTCTTTTTTCAATTTTTATTTAAGCATTCAAATAGAAAGTTAAAAAAAAAACAGCATTTATTTAAAATAGGCCTATATAATCACTTTTGATCGATTAAATGCATCCTTGCTGAATAAAACTATTAATTTCTTTAAAAAAACATCTTACTGACCTCAAACTTATGAATGGTAGTCTGCAAGTGTAAGTTTTATTTGTATTATATCTATTTAATGTCTGAATGTCATTTTGTATGTACATAGTCTGTTTTGCTTAACATAAAAATGCAGGACATGTGAATATTTATATACCGACACACTGTACTTTGTGCATCTTTGTTGTATAGCTGGTGCTGTTAATGCTATGTTTTAATGGGCAACCGTGTACACACGTGTGTGTGTGTGTGTGTGTGTGTGTGTGTGTTTGTGTGGTCACTATTCCAATTTTTTGTGCCCATTACTGGTGACTTACTGGATGAGTATTTGGTTGATGACACCTCATTACCTCTCCTGCATGTGTGGCTCTAACTGATGATCTTTCCATCTCTTTTCTGACTTCATGCCACTCAGTAGCATATATTATTCAGATCAGACCCATGGGAATGATTTGAGAAGATTTATAACACTCTATTCTTCTTCTCATTAGTCTTACATTTAAAAGTCTGTATTCAATATTGGACTTGCCATGAGCTGCTTTCTCTTTCCACATATTCTTCTCATTGCCCATACCTGTCCTCAGAGCTTTCCTCAGAACTTTCTGGGGTTCACAACTGAACAAACAAAAGCACATTTGCATCAGCAAAAACATTTGTGTTCACAAATGTGCGATTTTGAGGACTTGCCAGAAATCATTTGCAGGCTCATTAGGCTGATGGGATTGGGACAGTACTGGAATGTCTTGTCATTAGGAGCTAAATCAGAAGATGCTGTGATGGTATTACGCTTGAAGACTCAGGAAATGGTCTCTCCGCTTTGTTCCCTCTGTCATTCTCACAGTAAAACAGAAAAATCCCTTAAAACATTTCCCAGAGGAATCATTTATCATCCTTAAATGACCAGTGGACATTCACTTGAACTGGTCACTGGTTAGCGCACACTAACCTTAACGTCACATCCGCAGCACAGATGCTTTCCTCCTGTGGCTTGTAAAGAGCTTCATGTTTGTTTGAGGTTGTTCTTCCAATAAGTGAGTTTAAAGCAGCATTATGTAACTTTTTCTGTGTTCAGAATTTGCTAAATGTATATAATGAGCGAGTACATCATGAATTCATCTTCCAAACCGCGTTTTTGTCTTATTCCGAATCACTACGGTACACTTATAATAAGTACTTATATTTGGACTATTGTAGCCTGGTCGGGTCGTCACCGCTGCGGAGTAACACATACCTGCGTGAATCGCCATAGACATAAACTTAGAGAAGTAGCTCCGGTTGGAATGTTCTTCCGCGGGATGTGTGCAGTTCTGTTTATTAACCGCTAGAGCGCCAAAAGTTACATAGTGCTGCTTTAATAGGAGAATTTAAACACTGCTAAGATCCTTATGTGGATCTGAGAGACTCTGTGTTCACAAGAGAGAAAACACTCCCAAAAGTACTCTTATTAATGAGAAAGGCTGATGCTAACCCAGGTTCCCTACTGTTCCCTACCATCAGCTACTAGTTTAATATCTTATTGAGGCTTTAGTAGAGCGATCTAGAGATGAGGAGAAGACTTGGGAATGCTGGGTAATGCACCTAATGATTTAGAAGCTCTGCTTTGGTAGATGCAGAAAAACACAGTGATGATAGATGCATTGAAAACATAGACTGACTGCACAAATCATTGAATATCATAAGTCCTGAATGAAGGATTTTCAGTAGTGAAGTGCACAAAACACCATATTTTTGGTGTTCTTTTATGTTCTTATTTACTGTATAATGACTGAGTTTATTGCATAGCATTTGCTGCCCTCTACTGGTATGCAGGCAGGCATACAGTTTAAGGTCAAACTCTTGTTCTAAAAGTTCATGGAAAATATATATTTTTTTCTCCGTCTCTGTCTTTAAGCATTACTTCTAAGCTGCTTAGGGCTTAGCATGCTTTGTATGGTACCCTAGCATGCAGATTATGGAAAATGTTCTAGACGTTTGTGTTATTGTGAATGAACATTTGTATATTATTGATTTAAAGTGCTAGTGTTCCTGCTAGAAAGCTGGTAATTATATGTTTTAATTACAAAATAAATGAATTTAATGCGAATTTGAAAGACATGAATACTTATCAAGAATATTTCATATTTGCTATCGTTCAAAAGTTTGGGGTCAGTAAGGTTTTTTTTTTTTTTTGTTGAAAAAAATCAATAATTTTTATTTACCAAGGACTTTTAGTTTTCAATTCGGTAACAATAGAAAGACTAGAAGTAATAAAGATTATCCTAAAATTAAAATAATTAATTTATACACACACATACACAAAGACTACATCGCGTGTGGTACAGTGTCATTATATCATGTTGCCTGTCCTCTCTGTATGTTTGTTTATAGATCTTTCACTCTGAGAAGTGTTTCACAGTCTAGTTGGAACCAGTTCAGGGTATGGCCTTTGGATCACTGCCGTGACCGCGACAGATGGGGGCAGACTGGAGAACTGGATTAAGAGATATTTTTCTTCTTTTGGTAAACAATAGAACTGACACTGATTGCAAGATAAATCTGGAAGAGACACGACCAGAAATCTATTTTCCCCTTTGACCTCTAAGATGAAATGTTGATCAAGATTTTCCTTGACAGCAGATTAATTCCTTTATACTTTCATAATGCAATTCAGCGTTTGATCCTGTCCCACATATGGGTTAAATTTCTGAATTGAGCGATGGCTTTATTTGGTGAGTCAATGGAAGCAATTTGACTATCATTGCTAGTTTGTAATCAGGTTAAAGACCAGCCCGCAAACATAAAGCAGAAGAAAATGTCTAAAAGATGAGTACAAACAGGATTCTAGTTGAGGATTAGTGGGTTTACACTTAAGCGAGGGGAATTCAACATACGCGTGGCATTGAGGCTCATTGCAGTGGGCCTGTGAATGTTCCTCTCCCTCCCTCGTACCTTCTGCTAAGCCTAAAACAAGATGCTCGGCGGTTGCGTCACCCAGTTTTTCTCCCTGCGGACTTTCATCTGAAATCATAAGTGACAAGAGGATTTTAGAAGCAGATTCTCTTAAGAGTCTCTGTGTGGCGCATATTTGTTTCGAAGCATCCCGGCCAAGCTGGCGGATCAAACGGACAACCAGGACAGCTGGATTCAGCTTGTTTACCTCCACTTGGGGGAGTGTATGTCACTCCTGAATGTTTCGGAGATTTTATTGGGGTTTCAAATGAGTGCACCTGGACTTGTAGGCTGTCAGCTGGGTCGAATGGAAATATTTCGTGTTTTTGAGGTTGTTAATCGATTTATGCTTTCTCTCTTTATCTTTCCAGGTGACCTGGCCCAACTTCAGCTGCCTCAGAAAAATGTAGAAGTGATCAAAGGGAAGATGGTAGTGCTGCAGGCTTCTTACACTGGTGTGGAGATTGAGAAAAATACAGTGGTATGGAACTACATGTCCAGCAGCACAGAAATGGTGACTGTCTTTCTTATTGGTTGTTTTTCTTTGTTTGTGTTGACAGAGACAGCAGTGTCCTGCAGTGTGACATGCTATACTTCATCTAAAAATATTTTTCCACTTCAGAATTATGATTATTAATTTGATCAACTCATAACATTTTTTATTATTATTAATTAGCATTGAATATTTATACTTAATACAACTAATATGACTTTATTTGTCACATTGTAGAAATACTTGTTAACTGCAAAAAAGTTAAATAATAGTTAATAAAAATAAATTAAATTAAAAAAAAACTATTTAATTAAAATAAATAGTTTTAAATAAGAAATGACTTTAAAAAATAATATATATATATATATACATACAGTATATTCTTATTTTTATTAATTGAGAGACAGCATTGAATATTTATACTTAATACAAATTTATTTGTCACACTGTAAAAATACTTAAGTGAACTGCAAAAAACTTAAACAATTATTTGTAAATAAATTATTACTTTTTTTTTATTTTTTTTATTTTTTTTTTACAAATGTTATATATACCTATAACACCCTAAAATCTTGGTTTTAAAACATGAACATGTTATTTGTTGCTTTAATTGATTTAAAGCATACCTATTCAGCTACTTTGACTGGATTAAATAAATAGCTAAAAATGGTAAAATAAGATGAACACAAAAAATAATGATAAAAAATAAGTAATAAGTCCCATATAAAGTGTTTTTAGCTAGTAATAAACAAGTAATAATTAAGATAATAAATAATTGCAATAATCCGTTAATAATGATGATAATAATAATAATAATTATTATTATTATTATTATTATTAAGGTATTTATCAAGCTCTTTTTGATGGAATAAGTGAGAGACAAAGTATTGTTGTAAAAAGATAATACTCTGTAAACTATGAAATATGAATGCTAATAATCACACAGTAATAAGTAATCTAGTTAATTAACTAGGTTGCTGAGCAATTTAAAGAGTGCAGTATCTTGGGTCTTGTGCATATATTGGCTGTTTTCAATCTGATTTCATAGTTTCATAAAAATCACAATTTTTCTCATGGTGGTTCAGAACGTAACATGAAATGCAGCTGATGTAATGGTCACTCTCTGTCCCTGATCACTCAGGCTCTTGAGTTCCAGAGGTCAAGAGTGCACACAGACGAAATCCTGCTCCTCATTTTTCCAGTGCAGTACGCCGAATGGATTCCGCAGAGATTTATAATGAATTCTGATAATGTTATGTCAGTCCAAATTAGATTTCGAAATGGTGTGGTATTATGGGTGGGATTATATTCATTCGTTAGTTTTTGTGCAGATGCCAGAAAGTTTAGCACCATCTGTGCATGTTATGATTTGGATTATGAATGGCAGAGACAGAAATATTATTCTGGACTGATTATAAAAAAAAATGTGTCTTAAAAATTATCACTTTTTTATATGGAAATTTAGTTTTTGTTTTAATTCAGTTATATAATGTTGATCAAATGTCGACAAATGTCTTTATCACAGAATCACTTGTTTTTTGTGTTAACCATATTGAAAGTACAAGAAGTCATGTGAATCATCATAGCAGACTACTATCTCATATTAGCTGCAAGCTCAGACCATCTTACCTTAAGAGCTAGTATAATACTGTGATTTAAATGTCCACTCTTGGCAGCAATTGTCTTTCATTTTGCATTACACAGCACCTCATTACTCTGTAAGAAACCGTATTATCTGCAGATTGTAAAATCCTCTATCCTGCATTTTCTTCAGTTGAGATTAAATCTGCACACTGAGGAATCATCTGATATGAATCCTTTAGACCTGTCCACTGAGAAATTCTGTCCCTGCCTCTAACAGATTGATGATCTTACATAATTCAAATTTTTTTTAATTGTGTTTTTACACAGTGGTTTAGAAATTTCCAGCCGCTTGCCTAAGCAGTTTTTGCAGTATATTTCATTAGTATCAGAAATGTCCAAACATTTGTTTGTTTGTTTATATATTAATACTCCCATCTGTTTATATTTACTTATTTAATATGTTGATATTTTTAATAATTTATTAAATAATTTATTGAAAGTGATTTGTGTGTGTGTGTGTGTGTGTGTGTGTGTGTGTGTGTTAATAAAATGTAATGAATAAATATACCTGTGTATTGTGAAAAATATTTAACCTTAAACCTCCTGAATTTGTATCATCTATTCATACCCCATTTGCAATTTTAATGCCTTCCACCCTCTTCTCTGTCTTTCTTTAGATTATCTCATACGTCAGTGGAGGCTTAAGTCATAGCACTTCCCAGTTTGCAGGTCGAGTTGGTTTTATGCATAGTATGCCCAACACCAACCTGTCCCTGTACATTAACAACACCAAAGCATCAGACTCAGGGAAGTACATGTGCCAGGTCATTATCCCGGGCGTCCCAGGACTCACCGGAGAGCTCACCCTTAATGTTAAAGGTGTGTACTTACTGCCACATTGTGGTGCACACATGCATAGTCATAAAACACACATGCATGTGTACATGTCAGATGCTTGTTCTGTGACACAGGCCAGCGTTTTCTGGATTTAACATCACATAACCCATCCTGTCTCTTTCAGTCCCTCCTTCAGTGCCAGTTTGTCAAATTAAAGGAAGGCCTGTTCTTAAAGGGAACATCACTCTGGCTTGTAACTCTGATGATGGTAAACCTGCACCAGTATACAAGTGGACCAAGACCAGCCCCACTTCAGAGGTCTTCTTCCCTCCCGCACAAAGTGAGTCTGTCTGTGTGTCCAAGTAAGACACAAGAATATATTTAAATAATGTATTCATTCTCCATTCTATTAGCTTGCATTAGCATTAACATGCCTCTCCAAAAATGAAAATGTACTCACCCTAATGTTTCAAATTCATATGACTTTATTTCTTTTGTGGAAAGAGGTGAAATTTTGAAGAATGTCCACTGATAAAGAAAGTAGCATAAAAGTATACTTTAGTAAGTCATCTACGTGACTCTGGATGCAGTCGCAGCAGTTAACAGCTCACTAGAAGGGAGGAATATTAGTAAATGTTCACTTTATTTTGGTTGGTTTGTCATATTTAGCTGTCGTATTACTTCAAAAGAGTGCATACAGTCGATCAGTTGTATTTCTTTTTTTTTTTCTTGTCATGTAGAGTCAAACCAAAATTTATTCAGACACCTTCAACATTTCTCACATTATCACAGTTTATTCGCTATAGTTTAGAAAATGGTAATAAAATATGACAAGAACTCAGAGTTAAACTGTGTCAGAACAAATTCATTAACTTTGATAGAACGGTATGTAAAGAATTAGGTTAGCCGTCAGCTGTTAAATTTATGTACACAGATAATACCATTTTTGGTCAATTAATTACCAAGCAATGCTTAATTTTGTTCAGTCTGTGGTGTAAAAAGGTTGCATTAGCAATTAAAGAAAAACACTTAAGCAAAACATGGTCAGGTCAAAGTGTCTGAATAATTTTTGGTCTCGAATTTTTATCAGTTTTACTGGTAGTCCACTGTATGAAGAATTTTTGGGTATAATATTCCACAGTTTACTTTATTTTGCTGTCCTCACTTACATAAATGAACTATAGTGTTGTGCACCCACTAGTAAAACAATATAAAAAATTATATCTGGTTTCTGAATAATTTTTGGTTTGACTGTATGTTTTGAACATCATGAGGGTGAGTAAATAATTTCAGAATTTTCATTTTTGGTTGAACTAATCCTTTAAGCATGACGAGGAAACCGTTTGGCCTGAGATTAAACCTTAAAACCATATATTTGTTTACCTTTGTTATGTAATTCTTGAGTCACTGGAATCAGATCCTTGGATATATTGGATAAACATTGCTGGCATTCAGCTAGCAATATTTTATCAGTTACTGTGACACTCTGTGATCTCGGTTTCAAATATTTGAATGTTTCTAATCTCTGGCTGAATTATTTTTGTAATCATGCAAGTCAAACTTTACCCTCATACTGTTGTTGTTGTTGTAGATGAAACAGCAGGAACATTAAAGCTGAACAATCTTAGCAGTAATATGTCAGGGAAATACATGTGCACTGCATCCAACTCTGCAGGAGTGGAGACGTGCTACATCAACCTGGAGGTCATCACATGTACGTACTGTTGTTTGCTCATTACATACATAAGCTTTCAAAAGTATTAAGAAATCTTTTTTTTTATTCGGCAGGGATGCATTAAATTGATCAAAAGTGACAGTAAAGACATTTATGTTAACATGACACTAACTTTCTCTTCATCAAATAATTCTAAAAAAAAGTATTACAGTTTCCACAAAAATATTAAGCAGTACAATTGTTTTCAACATTGATTTTTAGAAATGTTTCTTGAGCAGAAAATCAGCATATGTGAACATGAACCACAAAACCAGTCACCAGTCACCAATATTTGTAAGTATGTATGTATTTATTTATTTTCTGTTTCATTATTTGTGACCCTGGACCACAAAACCAGTCATAAATGTCAATTTTCCGAAATTGAGATTTATACATCATCTGAAAGCTGATAAATAAGCTTTCCATTGATATAGTTTGTTAGGATAGGACAATATTTGGCCGAGATACAACTACAGGTGCATCTCAATAAATTAGAATGTCATGGAAAAGTTCATTTATTTCAGTAATTCAACTCAAATTGTGAAACTCGTGTATTAAATAAAT